GGAAAAACGAGAAGAGAAAAGGAAACGGGAGGAGCGGAGCAAAAGGCGCGGCCCTCTTCGCCCCCTCCCCGCAGCGGCAGTGAGCAGGACGACAGGTCCCGTTCCGCCCACACACACACAAAACAGGGCAGGAGGGGCGGCGTCGACCGCGCCGAGGCAGCGCGGCCGAAAATATACGTACACCACTGAGAGAAGCTAAAGCCGGAGGAGAAAAAAGGGGAGACGGGGGAAAAAGGCAAAGGAAAAAAAAGAAGAAGAAATAAAAAACATTGCTTTTTCAAGGAAGAAGGAGGGAAAGGAGGGGGTGGCAGGAAGGAAGGAAGGAAGAAGCGGAAGGAGGCGACAACAACAACAAAAAAAAACGTGGAGACCGGCACAGCCTGCGTGGGTTTCTTACGTTTTATTGCAGTTCGTTCCTCCGGCGCCAGTGCACGCAGCCCGTGACTGTGTGCGTGTCGCTGCTGGGCCGTGACGTGTTTGCTTGCTGGGCGGCGACTGGGGGGGGGGGGTGCAAGGCGGAAGAAGAAACCAACAGCAGCCGAAGAGAAAAAAAAAACAGGAGAAATAAAAATAAACGTTAAAAGAGAAACAAAATGCCGTTCACGCCAGAGTTCATTCCACTGGCGAAGCAGAAGGAGATGTTTGCCATCAGCTCCTGGCGCGACTCGCCGCAGACTGCCGCCTCAATGCAGCCGATGGTGTTAAGCCCCGCCGCCTTGCCGGAGGCCCAGTCTGAGAAGGACGGTGCTTCGCCAAGCAAAGGGGGGCATCGCTCGCGCAGGGGGCGTCGTGGGAAAAATCGACTATCCCAGCGGCAGCAGGACCTGGATGATTTCTTCGTCAACTGCGTGCTTCCAAAGGGAGTCTCATTTGCCACACTCAACTCGGAGCTGAACTGTAACGCCACGACGCCGCTTCGTGCCTACGACGTTGGGACGCCGCGCGTACTGTTTGCCAGAAGGAACTGTGGCATGCCATCCGGCGCCACTGAGCAGGGCAGCGCGGAACAAGCCAGTGGTATTGATGCCGCCAACTCCACTGCAGCTGGCACGACAACGCCGGCGCCGCCCGTATTACCAGCAGGATCTGACTCTAGCATTAACAATAATAATAATAATGCTGCAGCCGCCTGTGCCGCTCCTGCTTCAGAGGCAGGTGCTCCCATTCTTGCGCCGGCAGCTGCGCCGGACGTTTCAGCGGAAGTAGCAACCAGGGGTGATTTGACGACATTGACGCGCAAATTAAGCCACAACGCCGTGACTCTCTCACCGTTTCGCACGCCTATGGCGTTAGCGCCCGGGGCGACCCCTATGACGCCGGCCGACGACAGCGACGAGTCACCAGGCGGCGGTCTGCCCCCCGACCTCGTCCTCCCGCCGTCTGTCCCTTCTGAAATACTTTCACGGGGGCACCTCATTTCTCTTCTCTATGCCGAAAGTAGCGAGGCGGAGAAGGCCAGTGAGTGGCTGCAGAAAAAGTGGCCGCAGGCGACGGTGATGGTTGTGGCTCGCAATCGCTCCATCCTGAACGCCTCGCTGGTCTTAAAGGGACTCCCAAGCCTGTCCAAGACGGAGCGCATCATTGAGGAGGTCGAAAAGGTCACACCGCAGAAGCCGTCGTACATTCGCCTGCATCGCAGTGAAAGGGGGGTATTCAAGAACGTTGTCTTTGTGAAGTACCCCAACCGCGAGGTTGCGGAGGAAAGTAAGCTGCGCCTTGAGCGATTTTTCATTGGCTCGCGCCAACTCAAGGTGGAGTTTAAAAAGAAGGAAAAGGGGGCGGCGGAGCGGGAGCGGGAAACTTCCCTGCAGCACCTGGTCCGTGACCTCCGTGTCAGCACGGAACACGAGGGTTTCGTGTGCCAGCGCAGCGAGCTCAGCAAGGATGAGCTGAAGCTTCTGAAGCAGCTCTGCCACTCCTACGGCCTCTCCTTCGACCTCACCGAGCAGAAGGTGACGGTGAAGCGCATCCTGCCAGGCGGCGACCGTCATTCACCGGCGCTGCGACCCGGCCACAACACGCAGTTGAACTGGGGACAACCCACACCCGGGGCGCTGCGACCGATGGACTTCAAGGGCATACGTCACTGGGGGGAGCTGCGGAGCAGCTACGCCTCCCTCGGGATTGCGCGGCCGAAGGGGCCTTACACCGTCCCGGCCTTTTCCCCTGGTCGGGGGCGACCGGTGTAGGTGCACGCAAGGATCGACGCATCTGCGAGGGAGCTACTGCCGCAGGGGCGCTTGGGAGAAGCGAGGGATGTGTGTGGCCGCAATGGCGGGAAGGGGAGAAGCGGAACTAAACGCTGAGGTGGTGGGGGAAAAAATCATTGTTTTTTTTTATTGTTGTTGTTTTTGGTTTGAAGAAGAGGACACAAGCGACTGCGCGTGATGGGCCCTACCCACGTGCCTTCCCACACAACCCGCCAAGGAAGAAGGACGGAATAAAAGAAAAGGAAAATAAAAAAAATAAAAATAAAAAAATAAACCACTGCGTCTTTTTGTTGATGGTGTTGGCTAGCTTTGCTTCTTCTCTGCGCGTTTCCGCTGTTACTTCTTTCTTGTTGCTTCTTTGTCTTCCTTGAACGCTCTCCGGGTGCTTGACCAGGCACCGCCGCCGTCAACGTAATCCACGCAGCGAGGGATGAGGGGGAGGCGCGTGTCCGTCTTGGCGGAGACAACCCGGCCGTTGGAGCAGACAGCAGCCGAGAAAGAAAGCTTGCAACGCAGATTATACTCGTGGCTGTCCCGGGAGAAGCGAGGGAAGAGTGCTGTGTGTCTGTGTGTGAGAGGGAAAGAAAACACGCGTGAGAGTGTGAAAGAGACAAAAAAAAGGGAAGAGGGGGGATAGAGGTGTGAAATTAACGGATTTCTATTAACGTTTTCCCACTTGGTCATTTTCTTCTTCTGCGCCTACCGCCTCCTTGCAGGCACACACGCACCTTTGCAATCAGTGCCGCTCTATATACGTGTGTAGATGGCTCACCTGTGTACACGTGGCCACACTCGTGTGCGTCGCTCCCTGCCCCCATGCAGGGAGCGATCGCGAGAGAGAGAGAAAAAAAAAAGGGAGAGCGAGGAGGCCGGGGCAGGATGCGGTAACTCCCACCTTCTGTGTGTGTGTGTGTGTGTGTATGTTGTGCTGGCTAGCTGGATCTTCACAGCAAATGCGGTCCTTCATGCGGGCTCGCACACGAATTTATAATCGGCCCCTTTAAAGGGTAAGTGTATAATCGCCACTATTATCGAGGAGGGTGGGTGTCACTAGTGGCGTCTCCGCCCCTCGCCATGTCCAGTAGTGCGGTTATTGTTGTGTGGTATGCACCGCATCCTCCTGCGGCGAATCAACAGCGAGTGCTCTCCTGTGTTCACGCGGTTCCCGCCCTAGCTCCCACTCCCCCCTCCCACGCACACAGACAACGCGGCGGTGCGGGAAGGAGACAAACCCAAAGTATTGTGCTTCTGGCCAGGCAATTTATGCCTACGTTTGGTTTTTCTTTTTATTAACAGGGGCGCCGTTTTTTTTTAGACTTGCTTTTCCCCGCCTGGGTTGCTGTTGTGAAGAAGAGGAACAAAGGTAATAAAAAAGGGTGTGTGTGCTGGGGAGGGGGGAGGCCGTACGCGTTTTACTGCCTTTTCTCTCTCTATTTCTTCCGCCCGATCCCCCTGTAGGCTTCTGTGCGTGTGTGTGTGTGTGTCGCTGTGTGCATGCGCGCCGTCGCTTGGATTGTCTCCTCTCCCTTGCTGTTTTTCTGCAGCTCCCCGTGTCTGCGGCTGCCGCTCGCCCGCCCGCCCTGCGGGTTGCGTCAAGGCGGCGGCGGGACGGGCGAGGATGCGTGGAGGCGAAGGCGCATGAGTGGCCGAGGAGGCGGGGCGGCAGCTTCAACGGCGGGCCGAGGGAGCGGCGGCGCCCCAATCCCGCTGCACGCTCGCCCTGCGTCACAGCCTCCTCGCCGCAGGCACGCCCCCTTCCACGCACGCGCGCACACACACACACGAGGTGGAGTGAAGAGAAGCGAAGAAAGAAGCAGTGCAAAAAGGCAAAGAAGAAGGGGAAAGGTTTTTCGCGGGGTGTTTTGCTGCTGCTGCTGCTGCTGCTGCTGCTGCTGCCAGGCGGGCGGGATGTCGTCTGCGGAGGTATCCGCAAATGCCACATGGCACTTGCGCCCTTTTTTTAAGCGGTGTGGGGGCGCGTCGCTCAAAAATCCGTTTGCGTTTTGTCTCTGTGCCCCCTCGCGTGGGTCATGCGGCGGCACACTCCTCTTTTTTCCTCGCAGCCGTTAGCGGCGAACGGTTGCAACGGAGCGCAGACCCCCAGGCGACGAAAAAGAGGGAGAAAATTATGTATTGTAGGCGGTGATATTTTGTTTTGTCGTTGTTGTCACGATTGCCTGTACTCCGTTGCCATATTGGCCTTGAGGTGAGGGAAGAAGCGGCGGCAGAGCGACTGCAGCGGGGTGCTTGGTTTTTTTTGGGAGGGGGGAGGAGAAGGGCTCTCGCGACTCCCTGCACCTCGCCGCTGCCGGCAATGTGTACGCCTTCACTGCCGTGTTGTGCCCCTTTCGCCTTCCCCGCTCCTCCACTTCCCGCTTGCCTCTCTCTGTCTGTGGAGGCATGACGCCAGAGCCGCGGTACGACTATGGCACCGTCGTCGCGGCTCTCTCGCGGACGGTGGTGTTCAAGCAGAACCGCCACCCCCGGTACCCCGCGGGCCCGGTGGCGTTGAAAGTGACGGCGGGCCCCTCGCCGTTGCTGCCGGCCACTTGCCAGCAGGACACTTCGCCCGCTGCTGGTCCTGCCGGCGATGGAGCCACACACCCCACGCTGCACGAGGCGAGGATCTATGCCCGTGTGTGCCCGCACCCGTCCATTCCCGCCTTTGTGGAGTGTGTCGAGGATTCATTCGATACCTCGCGTTTTCGCGCGGAGGAGCGGCAGTGCGGGGTGCAGCGTCTGCCTGTCCTCGTCACACAATTCGTCAAGGCTGCCTCCGTCGATCGCTTCTTTCATACTTTCCGTGTCCTTCGATGGTCCGTGGCAGTGCGGGTCGCACACCAGGTTGCCAGTGTCTTGCGGCACGTGCACAGCAAGGGTGTGGTGTACGGCGATCTCAAACTGCCGAACGTCCTCCTCGGGGGCAAGGGTGATGTATGGCTTGTGGACTTCGCCAGTGCCACGGTAGTGCACTGCGGTGCGGATGGCGCTGAACGCCGAGGCGGCAGGGTTAGCCGGGAAGAGCTGGCGCGGGGCATTACTCCGCACCTGCGCGCGCCAGAGCTTCTCCCCACCACGCCGGCGGCGGGGCCGGAGGCGTCGCTGCCGCATCCCTTCATGGTGGACTTTTGGGCCTTTGGCGCCTTCATTCTCGAAATTCTAACCGGGCGCCCTTTTCTGGGCTCTTTCGCGGAGTGCAGTGGCACCTACACGCAGGACGAACTGCAGACGAAGGTGTTGGAGGGATGCTCACTTGCGAAGCGGCGCTACGGCGGCGCGGGCGGTCCCCGCCACCCTCCTGGTGTGTGGGATGCCCTCAGGGACCTGCTCACGGGGCTGCTGCGACGCAGCCCGGAACAGCGGCTCGGTTTTGGGGGTGGTTGGGGTGAGATTCTGCGGCACCGCTTCTTCGAGGCTGTCGAGCCGGACCTGCGCGAGCCTTTCCCTGAGGAGTACGCCGAAGAAAACGACGAGCTCACGCTGGGGACTGTGAGGGTGGGGAGGGGGGAAGGAAGGGAGAGAGAGGTTCAGCTATTTCCTTTGTCCACCGTCGCTGCGGGGACACACATGCACTTGAAGCGAGTGGCGAGCGCATTGCTTTGAGGACGCGGCTGGAATTCTTACTTAGTGCTACCGCTGCTGCTGCTGCTGCTGCTGTATCCCCCTTTTTGGCCTTATTTTCCTCTCTTCTTATTTTTTCTTCCCCCGCCCCCCTTCCTTCCCCTCCCAGCCGTTCACACCAGCCTTGCCTCCTTGCCGTGCGCCTGTCACCTCCCCCACCAGGCTGCCACCCCCACCCTTCCCGCGCACTCGACGCGGAGGACGGGAAGGCGAAAGCAGGCGAGTGGGCCTTTAGCAACCAACGCCCCTTGCCGTCCCTCTCTCCCCCTCTCTGGGGTCGCAGGTGGGGAGGGGGCGTACGTGTGCGTTAGCGTCGTAGTCTTGGGGCGCGGGAAGCAATGGGAATGCGTCCGTTTCCCTGGCGCAGGCGACTCCGCAGACTACGCGCGGGTCGATGCGGACTCCTGCTGCTCGTGTTGTGCACGTTTCTCCTCACGTTCCTGGCGCTTGAGTGCGCCCGGCGCGAACTGCGGCCGCAGCGTGCGGCGGAGGAGGATCGCCTGCCACCGCAGCCGCGCACGTTGGCGGGGAGACTGGCGTACGCCGTCGTCGTCACGAATGAGGATTACGTCGACGGGGCCCTTGTCTTGGGCGACTCGCTCACGCAGCACTCCCGCCACGTGGCGGACGGGCTGGCGGAGCTCGTGCTTCTCTTCCCGCAGGGGCGGCTCTCTGCGGAGAGCCGCGGCCGGCTGCGCTGCGCCGGGTGGAGGCGTGTGATGGAGGTCTCCGACTTGTCTGCGTACGCCCCACGCGCGCGCCTGCGAGACACCTTCACGAAGCTGCACGTCTTCAACCTCACCGAGTACGCCCGGGTGGCGATGCTTGACGGGGATATGCTGATGCTGCGCAGCCCGGACAAAGTATTCGACACCGAACTCCCCAACGAGCACCACGTGGGCGCCATTGGCAGCCAAACCAGGAACTACTTTCAGACGGGGATGATGCTCCTGATACCATCCCGTGCGGTGTTTCTTGCCCTGCTGCACAGCTTAAAAACCGACCGACGGCAACAGGGGTACTATGGCAGGGACGGTCACCTTGTTCGCGGCTACTTTACGTCGCAGTACGTCATTCTGGACCACTTCCTCAGCATTCACATCCACCCCGCTGATCCCGTTATTGAGAAGGCCATTGGGCTCCACTACCGCGGTGCATGGAAGCCGTGGCACAACCGCGAAGACCCCCCGCCAGCGTCAAGGCACCTCACGGCGGATGCGCCCGTGCAGGAACTTGGGGCGCCGTATCGCCTCTGGTGGGAAGCCTATGAGAGACTGCACGTAAGGTGTCTGGCGCCACGAGATGCGGTTGGGTCTCCCACTCGAGACGCCAACGCCCCCGCGGGGTACGACCCCGCAGAAAGCGTGTGGCTCATGCGGCACACGGCTCACAGCTACATGCAGTGGATGGCGCAGAAGGAGGAGCAGCAGCGTAACACGACACTCACCGGGCTGCGCGTGGTGGAGTCTGAGGAGGGTGCCTCTTGCGACGAGGCGTGTGGCAGGGCCGGATTGCAGTGCATCGAAAAAGCCCTGAGTTTCCTGCGCGTCAACTCGGCGGCGTCGTTGGAAGTTGTATTCCTCTGCATGCACACTTCACGGGAGATTCCTATGCCGTATTACCCTTCCTTCAACGTCCGAACGCTGACCTGTCATGTGAACTCCATGTACGGCAAACACGAGCGGCCAACGTGCGGGGCGAAGGCGCCTCTGCATCGGCGCTTGTGCACGTGCCTCGAGGCAGCGGCGTATCGTGGTGCGAACCTCGCATCTGCCCCTGCCGCCTCGGAAGTTCCTCGTCAAGCCCCACCAGAGTCCGCCCCACCTCATACTGAAGGGCCGAGGGCTGCAGAAGCAAGTGGTGACGCAGCGGCCTGCTCCGAATGGGTTCCAGCGTCCACGCATGCGGCTGCGGCGGTGCTGCGCAGCAGAAGATGTGCGTCCTTCCTTTCGCAGTGGAACGATGTGGAGGCGGTACCGCGTCAGCGCGATGCCCGCACAATTAAGGTTCGCCTCCGCTACAAGAACGGCGCGGCTGCCATCGTGAAGCTCGAGCAGTTGTCGTTTCCGCTTGAGCCGCACGCGGAGTACGGCGCCTACGCCGCGTCTCTGCTGCTGGGGATAGGCATGGTGCCCCCCACGCGCCTCCTCCACCTCCCGGCGTCCGTCCTTCGCGAGGCGCTACTGACCGGCGTCAACGCGACCGAGCGGCGCTTTCTTGAGGAGGAGCTGCCGTGGCTTCGCCGGGCCGCCGCTGCCGCGGAGGCGTTGACGGCGAGTGCCCAGCTTTGGCTGCCGGACGACGTCGTCGCGTTTGGCGACGCTGCGCCGCCCCTCACGCGGCGCCGCTTTGACGCCTGGCTGCAGGCAAAGTCCAGCCACAGCACCAACTCCACCGGCGATCGGGTGATGTTTGACGTCGCCATTATGCGCTTTTTTGACTACGTCATCGCCAACGAGGACAGGACATTTACGCACAATGCGCATGTGCTCGCAAAGGGAAATACGACGCAGGTTGTCTTATTGGATCACGGTAAGAGCCTGCATAGTGATTCAGCGGAGGTGCAGCCCAATCCCTTGCTCCCCCCGAGAGACTTCCACCCTGACGAGGAGGCGGCAAAGCCAGCACCCATGTGTAGGCTGCCAGGCTTTGTGTTGCGGCAGGCCATGCGTCTTTCAAGCAAGCGATACGAGCCGCTTCACTCCCTGCTGGCGCGTGGTGAGGCTGGTGGGAGTGGCAGAATAGAAGGCAGTGAAACCCTCGCAGGGCAGCTGCTGCGCGCGGCGCCGTCGAACAATGTCACCTGGCGCCTACCAGAGAAGAGCATTCTGGCGGTGCAACTTCGTTTGGAGACGGCCTTGGCGCACTTTGCAAAGTGTGCGGAGGTTTTCGGGCTATCCCATGTCATTGGCTAATGTTGCCTTGTTTTTTTTTGTTTTTTTTTTTTCCCCCTCACTTTTGATTTTCGCATTGTGTATTCCTTTCTTTGTGTGTGTGCGTATTTACCTCGAGGCGCTGCCTGCTTGCCGCAGTTTTCTCTTGTGGTAGGAAGGGGGTGGCGGCCGCCGCCGTCGTCGCCGCCCTCACGCGGTGCGAGCGCCTCCGTGACATGACTCTTTGATGCCTTTGCTTGCTAAAATGTGTGTGTGTGGAGGGGGGAGTAGGCGCGGGGAATATTAAGCAAGACAGAACAATGTTGTGGTTGTTGTTGTTGTTTTCCTCGGCGTGTGCAACTTCGTCTGCGTGCGAGTGTTTTTTTTTCTTGCTGCCGTTTTTTGTGCCCCCTCCCCTTCTGAGTCCCCCAAATGCGGCGGTGCAGGTGCACTCCGACGACGACGACGACGACGGCTGCCGCCTCTTTCTTCCCCGCCACCACGAGAAGAGAAGGCATCCCACACACACACACACAGTAGCACAACCTACGCGTACGGTGCACCCACCGCCTCACCCCACACTTGCACGCACACGCACAAGCGCCAAGGGCAGCGGGGGGTGGGAGAAGCAAGGCGGTGGGGTGCTCCTTCGCCGCGAACGGCCGTCATGCGCGGTGCCCACCGCTCTTCCTCCTCCTCGGAGGCGCAGGTGAAGGTGGTGGTGGCGGCGCGGCGGCACCGCATGGTCACGCGCGCCCTCGTGAAGGGAAGGACTCCTCCGGGGCAGGTGGACGGTCCTGTCGGTGGTGTGCTGCGGTGCATTTGCACGGCGTACCTTGTCTCCACGCAGGAGACGCTGTTGGAGTGTCATCGCTGCGGGAATTGGTGCCACCCCGCCTGTGTGGGCGTCGACCACGCAGAGTTGCGGCGGTACCAGGCGGAAAAGAACTTTGTGTGCCCCTTCTGCACAGGGATGCACAAGCGCTTGCGGCGCGAGTCTCAGTCACCTGCCCCACGGCAACCGCCTCTGCGCCTCCGCGAGGTCCCAGATCGCCTGCCCTTTGGCTCTGTCATGCAGCTGCGTCATCTACTGAAGATCGCCACGCGGGCTGCCCATGAGGCCGGCTTTGTAGTCGTCGACCTCCCCGTGATGCCGCTCACCGCCGCCATGGAGAAGGAGTGCCTGGAGTGCTGTGAGGAGGCCATTAGAGAGGCCACCTTTTCCGCCCAGTACCCGGCGTACTGTCTGAAGGAGGTGCGGGAGCAGGCCCACCCGTACGTGCAGGGAACGCTGCTCCGCTGCATGCAAACCGGGCGTATTGTATCCATGGTGCTCTCCAATGGAATGGACGTGTACGGAAACCTGCGGCACACAATTACACAATTAAAAAGTGGCATTAACAGGGGACTTATTGACAGACGGCATCAGACGTCGTTTATGGCATCCTGCACAAAATTAACCGACATCTCGGACTTTGTGCACATCACGCTAAGTGCGACACATAGAGACTACCAAAGAAAGGGGCTGGCACGCATGCTGATGGTGATAGAACTGCTAAAGTGGGCACTGCGAGGTCGCACGCGGGCCTATTTGAACATGGCGCTTGAAAAACGCATCGTCGACAGCGGTACGCGATTGGAGTGTGTGGCGTCGCCGGCTTCCCGACGGCTGTACGAGTCCTTTGGCTTTAGGGACGTCTACCCGCGGTTTGACCGCGAGACAGATGAGGCGCGCTGGACGCCAAAAGAGGCGGATATGGGCCGTGTGATGGCGCACATGAATTTTCTGGAGGATGTGGTTAAAATGGCGCTGCGGTACGAAGCAGGCGGCGCCAATACGGACGTCGCCCACGGCAGGGCTGCGGCGGCTGGTGGTGGGATACGCATCAAGGCATCTTCCTCGCCGTCCCCGCCCGCGGTGAAAAAGCGTCTCTCGTTGCTTGGGAGACGGGGCTGAGCAGCAGCGGCGCGTGGGGACCGGAGGGGAGAAAGTGTATAAATGAGCGAGGGACGTGCTGGAGAGGGACCGGATAACGGAAGAAATGAAGAAGCAGAAAAAAAGGAAAAGGGGCGCGTCCCCGGCCCAACCCGCATGTGTGTGTGTGTAGGAGGGGGGGAAGGGCATCGCAATGGTAACGACCCGCAAAGACAATTGTGTGCATACATATATATTCGCCTTCACCCTGCCGCTGCTGCGCTCAACGACTCCAATGCGTGTTTGCCTCCCGGCCTTCCTCCGCGCTCCTCTGCGTGGACGAAATGCAGCCTGCAAGCAGGCGGGACGTTAACGCCCCGTCCACCCCCTGCGGCGTACGCCCGCGTTGTTCCCTTTGAGTGCAGGCACCGTCGATGGTGTCGTCGTAGTCTACGGTTTTCTTGTTTTATTATTTCATTTGCATCTTTATTTTGTTGTCTTTTTTTTCCCTACGTGAGTGCGTGCCGCGTAGAAAGCGCAACCGAGAGAGTTGGCAGCCACCTGGAGATGCGTCGCTCGTCGCTGCTGTGGCGGGCAAAGACGCTGGCGCAGATGTTCCGCAAGCTGAAGCTCGCGGGTGCCCACCCGGATGTTTTGTGGGCCGTGGACGCACTGAAGGCGCAGCACAACGGCGAGGAGATGATTCGTCTGGAGACGATGATGCACCAGCGCAGTTCCGTGCACGGGGGCAGCAGCTACGGGCGTCAAGGCACCGCGGAAAGCTTCACGTTTTGGCTGGCCGAGGAGCAGGGAAGCCGCCACGGTGGACCGGCAACGGCACTGCGGTCTGTAACCTGCACCATCAACCCGGTTGCGCCCAACGCCACGGTGAAGCAGCAGCTCTCGCAGCTCTTTCGTGACGCCGGCATCTACGAGGACTTTGACATCGATGACACGGGCGTTGAGATGAACCTGGAGTCCGTGCTGCGTCACGCGGACGAGCGACAGAACGAGCACCTCCATCAGTCTGGCGCACTGTACATTCGCGGGGACAAGGCGGTTGAGATGCTGCGGCGCTTTGGTGTCCTGCTCATCGTGGAGGAGAGCGGCATCACGTACCTCGTCACGCTGCCGGAGGTGCACCACCACCAGCAGCTGCAGCAGGAGCCCTTGGACCGCGCCGCCGCGGCGTACGCGCCGGCGAGGAGCCTCGTCGGCCCCAACGGGGAGATTGACCCCGACGTTCAGGAGTACATGCGGGATCGCGGCCTCCGTGCCTTTGATCTGCGCATGGCGGGGAGTCATTCCTCGGTGGAGCGCTTTGTCTCCGCCTTTGAACGCCTTGAACGCATGTATGAGGTGCACCGCGGCAGGGCGATGCGGCCGTGCGTGTGCGTCGTCCTTTCCCTCAAATCCCTGGACAACTACGTGGCGGAGGACGGCTGCCTTGTCCTTTCCGTGCAACGCATGCCCACGTGGGAGGAGTTTCTTTTGACCCTTCCGCAGGAGGTGTGGCAGAGATGTGTGCAGATGCACCGCGACTGGCGCATTGGAAACGCCCCGAAACTGCGGGCGCGGCAACGGCAGCTTATGAAGGTGGCAGACATGTTCCATTTTTTTCGTGTCCAGCTGGACTCCGGCATCGGGGCGCGGACGGACTGGCAGGAGGACTTCATACTGCGGCTGATGAAGGAGGAAATGGTGATACGCAACGCGGTGCGGAAGTATAATTTGAAGTCGGAGCTGTTAAAGAAACGCGGGGAGATTCACGTGGCCCACACCCTACGTAGTGCGATGGATCCAGCGAAGGAGATTGGCTACCGCATCGGCGGCGATGGTCGTCTCTTCTTCAACTTCAGCACGATGACCACGGGGCAGATGCTGCGGGTCTTGAAGGACAACCTGCGACGTCTGGAGACGTTTCAAAAGCAGCACGACACCGCCGTGGCCACACTGGAGCACCTGAGCCGCAGCATCCCGGTGGACTTTAGCGTGGACACCGAGTGGAAGCTGCGGCAGGAGGGGAACCTTGTGAACTGTCTGCAGCGGTTCGTGCACACCATAAAGGCAAACCAGGGACAGCTGGCGGCTTTTCTGGCGATGCTAATGAGGAGCGGCACGGCGGCGGGGGTGCCGAAGAAGCGCATGGTGTGGATCATCTCCGCCCGGTTTGACACGATGCCGAGCGGGGTCGTGTTCGTGCCGTGGGACGTCGACTTTGCGTCCATCAAGAAGCACCTGCTGCCGAAGGGGTAGGGCGGTGTCTGCGCCACGCACATGGACGGCGTGGGCGGCACCCGAAGTGGCTTTGCACCGGCGCTACCATTCGATGTTTCTCGCCCTACCTCTCTTTCTATTTCGCTATTCACACACATATTTGTTTCTCTCTTGGGAGGAACCGAAGAGGAGGGAAAAAGAAGTTGGGGTGGAGAGTCGGCGGGTGCAACGAAGAAAAGAAAGGGGAGGCGAGATGTCCCACAGTTGCGTGTGCTCTCCTGCGACTTCCGTGGTGGCCCCAACACGTGTGGCTCCGCTCTCTCTCTCCCTCTTTCTCTCTATATATATATAAGTGGCGTCGCACTCACCACCGCGCCTCCCGTCTTTCTTCTTTTCCTTTTGCTTTGGCGTTGCTGCTGCGGGGCCACGGTGCGCCGTGCATCGCGTCAGGGAAGCGACAAAGTTCAAGTCTACATCCAGATTTAAAAAAAAATTTATGGGTCGTTTTAGCGGAATCCCATGGGCACTGATTTTCTTCATTATTCAGACCATTACGCTTTTATTTGTCGTCCTAGCGGGTTTTCTCGATGTTCTGCAGTCCTTGCACTCCATCGGCTGCTACACGGCGTGGGGCTACGTGGAGCACTGTGCTCCGCCGGCGACGCACGCGTATGCCGAGTGCCCCGAGATGCGGCCTACCATGTGCGCAGCCTCTGCCTTTGCGCTCATCAGCCTCTTCCTTGCCACTGTCAGCTGCGTCCTAGGCGGGTTGAGGATGCTCGCCTGCATAGTCTTGAAGCCGTGGGGCACTCTCACTCTGAGCGGCGCCATTGCCCTCACCCTGCTTGTGTCCTGGGCCTGCATCGCCGGTGTGCAAACGAAACTTTGTGGACGCACACACGACGGTGCTTTTGAGCCAACTTACGAGTACGCCGCTGGATTTCGCCTTTTGTTGCTTGGGTGGATTATGCAGGTTCTTGCGACGGGGGTGGCAGCTCTCATGGTCTTCATGTAAGCCGCCGCGGCGGCTCTGTGCACTTTCACCAAACCTCTCTTACATAAAAGAAGTCCTGCCTGTTTCTCTCTTTCTCTCCCTCTCTCTCTCTCCCTGTCTTCGGTGATAATTTATCGACAGCGGGATGGAATGAACGGTGTCGGTGTCAAAGGAGAGTGTTTGTTTTGTTTTTGTTTTTTTGTGTGTGACAAATGAAGCAGAATATTTTTTGCTTTTTAAATGATTGATTTACTGCTACTTAAATTTGAAGCCTAGTTGGACGGGCTCTTTCTGTGTCTTTTTTTTTCTTGTTTTATTTGTGTTGTGTGCTACCTGCGAGTATGTGGTTATGTACTTGGCTTTTGTTTCTCTCCAACGGGGAGGCCAACGCCCTCCTTATCAAAATGCATGTGTTGATTTTTTGTTGTTGGTGTTTTTTTTGTCCGCTCGCGCCGGCGGTGATATAAAGCGAAAGGGAAGAAGAAGAGAAGTGTGTGTTTGTGTGTGTGTGTGTGTGTGTGTTTTCGTTGATATATTCAGTTTCTCTTGGCGACCCTGCGGCCCGCGTTGCTGCCCAACGGCACGCACTCAAGTGTGTGTGGGCATCCCTGTTGCATTTCCCTGCCGCGTTCCCTCTACGCTTGCGTGCATGGGTGAGTAAGCAAAGTTTAGACCTCTTGGCGAAGAAGCGTCATGTCATGCCGTTAGCGCGGCGCTACTTCTACTACCTCAACGAGCGTGGCCAGCTGTTTCACGTGTTCGACATCAAAGGCCTCGTGGAGCACACACGCGTGCCGTCTGGCCCCACATACCTCGGCGAGGGGTCGTTTCTGGACTTCTTCTACCGGCGTCTGCGGCCGAACAGACTGCCCCAGTGCGTGGCAGACAGCGTGCGGGGCACGGATGGGGCGGCGGTGATGCGGCTGGACGACGGCTGCTGCCTGACACCGCGGGAGTTCCTGCGGCATTTCCCGTACGTCAGCGTCTGTGGGGCGGAGAAGAATTTCATGAAGGTGCAGGACGCCCCCGTGGTGTTCACGGACTACAACTTCGCCTGCGGGGGCGACGAGGAGTTGGGTGGCGTTCTCCTGTTTGCCGGGTCGCTGCAGGAGCCGTTCCAGGCAGCCGCCCTCACCGTCACGCGGGAGGGAAAACTGTTCCACCCCATCACCACGCTCGAGCACCTGCAACATGGCGCTGCGCCCGCGGCGACGAGAGGGCTTGTTGGGGCGCAGGTGGGGCTTAAGTTGGGGTTCGACTTTGTCTGCGAGGAACTTGACAGCGATGGGCACTTTGTCATTGACTGGGGAGGAAGGAAGCACGTGATTGCCTACGCGGAGGAGTGATGGCGGGTGTGTTTTGGTCCTCTGGGGAAAAAGGCACTGATCGCGTTTTTTTTTTTTGGCTTGGTTTTATGTATATTATTGCTGCTGCCTCTGTGGATGTGTGTGTAATCAATCCCTCCTTGCCTCTGCTCCCGCGTTGCGGCACTCCGTTGGAGCCGTGGCGAAGGGACGCGGCCCCCTGTGCGGACTAACTTTGCCGCAGTTGTTGTTGTTATCTTTTTTTTTCCTTCTTTCTTCCTGCCCGGGCGTCCAAAACAAAAAAAAACACCAACGTGCATTTATTTATTTACCGCGTAGATCGTTGAAGCGGAATGATTGAGAGGAGTAGGCGGGTCGTCCCTGGCACGCAGCTGTGCCACCGCGCGCTCTACGCGACCATCGTGGGGGATCAGCCGCAGGACTGCCTTCCAGGCACATCCGTCAAGATGAGCAGTGAGGGGCCGATTCTCGTTGACCACGTCATGCGTGCTGCACGACGGTACGTTGCCGGCAACGCGCCCCCCGCGCCGGAGAGTGGCCCGCCGAGCGCCATGGCTACGGAGCTGCTGCGCGCCGTGGAGGAGTTGCGCCAGCAGAACCAGCAGTACCAGCAGGAGCTGGAGGCACGCACGCAGCAGCTGGAGGCGCGGAAGCAGGAGGTGCAGGCGCTTCAGAACAAGCTGCGTGTGGTGCACATGGAGGCTAGGAGGCGCGGTTACAACTTCCACGAAATAGCTGATCGTGGATCCTCCCGAGGCTCGGAGAATAGAAAGACGCATGAGACGGAGCGACCCTACAGCAGGCGCGACTTCACCCCGCCGCGTGGAACGAGAGGTGGCGGCGGTGCAGGAGGGAGTGGGGAGTACTCGCGTCCGCCGCTTCCACCGCTGCGTGTGGACAGCGCACTAGTCCCAAGTCTCCCGCCGCCACTGCCGTCGCTGCCGCCCCAGCTGCAGCCTTCGTGTCCGCCGCCTCTCTGCGGGCAGGAAGCGCAGCTGGCGGCCAACGACGGCGTGGCGGCTGCCGTCGCCAAGCCCCCGCTCCCGCAGCTGTTGGCAGTGTCTCAGAGCAGAGGCGTGGCTGGGGATGCCTTGGGCGGCGGCGGCGGCGGCGTGGTGGCTGCCGTCGCCAAACCCCCGCTCCCGCAGCTGTTGCTGGAGGAGAGTGTGCGGGAAAATGGCGAAGCGGCCGAGGCGGAGCTTGAGGATGC